ATATTGGCCTTAAATAACAAAAAAGGCACAATACCGTGACTGGAACAATACACAAATAACCCGCACATAAAAGAGAGAAGCTTACGACAACGTTTCTGTCCGACTTGGACCATTGACAAAGTCACACTGTGACTTTGTCAATGGTCCAAGTCGGACCGAAACATCGTCGTAAGCTTCTCTCTTTTATGTGCGGGTTATTTGTGTGTAATATTGTCCTTGTACATAACAGTAAGGCCACCCACATCCCTCCTATGTTGAAGGCTCTGCTGAAATGACAGATCTATCCAGGATGGGTCCAGGCAAGAGATGAGACGTCTTGCTCTGTTCTCTACTCTGTCAAGCAGTCGCAGATGAGAGGGGGTCAGGCAAACCAAGAAAGTGGAGCATACTCAAGGTGTGAGCGTACTTGTGCCTTGTACAGAATCTTGCAACCCCTACTGTCAAGCAGATGCGAGATACGGCGAAGTGCCGTAAGCTTCCTGGCTGTCTTGTTTGCAAGATTTACAACATGGTTCTTCATGGTTAGTTTGGAGTCAAATTTCACCCCAAGGATATCAATTTCTTCTCCAGGTGCCAACGCCCTCCCATTCATCCTTACTACTGTACCAGCATTACCATCATGGTGCCTAGAGACGATCATCATTTGCGTTTTCTCAGGTGCAAATGTTACTTGCCATCTATTTCCCCAAGCTGATATAGCTCTCAGCTGGTGATTGATGTAGCTTAGAGCAGCTGGCATTTCTTCTCTTGGATAAGTGAATGTCAGTGTACAGTCGTCTGCATATGCCTGTGATTCTGGGATGAGATGAAGAAGGTTGTTGAAGTAGACATTCCATAACAATGGTCCCAGCACGCTTCCTTGTGGAACACTTGCCCCAATAGGATGTCTTGCTGATTCCGTTCCATTGAGAACTACACTTAGAGATCTACCATGAAGGTAATCACTGAGGAGACATAGCATCAAGGATCTTACCAGTGATTGACAGGAGTGACACTGGTCTGTAGTTGCTGATTTCTGCTCTGCTCTTCTTTTTGTGAACAGGGACTACATTTGCCTCTTTCCATAGAGAGGGCCATTTACACTGTACTAGGCAGTGCTGAAAGATGCGAGTTAGAGGTGCTGCTAGCTGGTCTGCACATCTTCTCAGCAATCTTGGGCTCATCTTGTCTGGGCCCACAGCCTTTTCTTGGTCAAGCGATTTAAGAAGGGAATGATCCTTCTCCTGCCTTATTGTCACCACTGACAGTTTTGACACAGTTCTTGCAGCTAGCCAAGGAGGGTCCCTTGCTGGATCAGGAATTTGCATTTTGGTAGCAAAGTGTTCAGCAAAGAGGTCCGCCTTCTCTTGACTACTAGTAGAGGTGGTCCCATCCTGTCGATATAAAGGTGGAATGAGTTCATCAGGCAGATAACCTTGTCTGTCCTTGACCAGGGACCACCAGGTTTTGGAGCCTACCCTACCTGATGCTAGCTTTCTTTTAGTGTCCACCTCCCATTTAGCAATGGCCCACTTTTGAACGTCACCCATATGCCTACAGGCTTGCCTGTGCAAGTTCCTGTTATAGGCGGTAGGATGTCTCTTATACCTTCGCCATGCTTTGTACTTAGCAGTAGCAGCCTCTCTACAACAAAAGTCAAACCAAGGCTGATCTCTCTCTCTCTCTCTCTCTCTCTCTCTCTCTCTCTCTTTGTGTTTTTGTTTGTTTGATGTAAAGATAATATATTATTAAATTTATATGAAGTTAATTACTGTAGACGATAAGACCAGAAGTGGATGAAGATAGGCACTGGGAAGACTGGACAGGTTGCAGATGTGGTCAAACAATTGACTACTGGAGTTCACTTCAAATAAATGCAATGTCATGCAGAGTTGAGGATGAAAGGGTAGACTGGAGTACAACCTAGGAGGCAAGAAGATGCAAACATCAGTGTATTGATGTGTAGCAGTGTATGTATGTGCACACATGCAATGTGAGTGTATATACACACTGTAGGCTATGTACACCAAGTATGTTATATACACAATGTAACCTATATAAACAATGTATGTCATTGCACACAGTATAGGCCTATATGTGTAGGCCTACATTAAGAGCAAGAGATGCATGTATTCCAATAAAGCTTTGTTTTCTTATTTTAGAGAGGGGGTGCCTTCATGTTGAAGGGCTCTTGGTCCAAGGAATTGGGGCAACCTTTCTTGCATCTGACTCCCATTACCCAGGCACTCTATGACCCCTCATGAAATACAAACACAAGAAGACCCAATCAAGTTACCAGCTGGTAACCTAGTTTGTAAGTACTCTTGACAGGCAAACAATTAATGAAGGGTGGATCAGATTACCTAGATAACATTGTTATCAGTGGTCATGCCTGTCTCCAGGGAGGCCCCTAGGTGATGGTGGTGACCACTTGATCCAAGGAATCAGAGCTACATTATCGTTGGATCAAACCTGAGCACTCTCTACCACTGTGCTTGTAGACTAGTAAAACCTAGCGATGTACAGGATTTTTGGTCTGTATACATGCTAATTTTACAGGCTTAATTCACTAGGTTTATTTTCGAAGGCATTATTATGCATCCCATACCCATCCTGTTGGTGGCAGTCACCACATACCCATCCTGTTGGTGGCAGTCACCACATACTCATCCTGTTGGTGGCAGTCACTGCATACCCATCCTGTTGGTGAGTCACTACATACCCATCCTATTGGTGGCAGTCACCACATACTCATCCTGTTGGTGGCAGTCACCACATACCAACCCTGTGGTTTGTGGTCACCACATACCCATCCTGCAGTTAGTGGTATACCTGGAGGGTGTTTCAGAGTCAATGCCCCTGTGCCCCAGTCCATGACCAGGCCTTGATGTGGATCAGGGCCTGATCAACCAGGCTGTTGCTACTGACAGCACACAAACCGACATATGAACCACAACCCGCCTGGTCAGGTACTGACTTCAGGTGCCTGTCCAGCTCCCTCTTAAAGATAGCCAGGGGTCTATTGGTAATCCACCCTTATGTATGCTGGGAGGCAGTTGAACAGTCTTGGGCCTCTAACACTTACCAATTCCGTGGATGGTAGTCACTTCAATGGTTTTTGATATAAGAAATTAGAACTCGTGGCTCGTACGTTGGATTGCGTGCAGCCAGCAGTAAGAGCCTGGTTGATCAGGCTCTGATCCACCAGGAGGCCTGGTCACAGACCGGGCCGCGGGGGCATTGACCCCCGGAACTCTCTCCAGGTAAACTCCAGATCAAACTTGATTACCTCCCATTGCCTGGCACTGTGTGACCTTACTGGTCTAGTGCTTCCCCATCAATATAAGAATTAAAATAATTTGTGCTCATAAATACTCAGCATATATATCGTTTTGATAATCAGGAAATGTATAGATCACTTTGCTTGGCGATAAGCTAAGTTATCCTATATTGAATTTTGTATCATAAATATTATTTTATTTAATTCCCTTGAATGTGAGAGAGTGGACTGTCCTGTCAGTTATATATATATATATATATATATATATATATATATATATATATATATATATATATATATATATATATATATATATATATATATCCTGGAGTTTACCTGGAGAGAGTTCCGGGGGTCAACGCCCCTGCGGCCCGGTCTATATATATATATATATATATAGTATATATATATATATATATATATATATATATATATATATATATTATATATATATATTATATATATATATATTATATATATATATATATATATATATATATATATATATATATATATATATATATATATATATATATATATATATATTTAAGACAATCAGTGTTATGCATTTTATGAGCATTCAGATTTTCATATTACTGTTTATTTTTTATGTACAGTAATTTTGAAATAAAGATTTGTATTTGTAAGTTATGTAACTGGCTTCTTGGTGTGAGTCAGTGACCTTGATTACTGTAGATAACATAGTATTGTCTCGTGTTTGATAGAGGCTTTGATTAGGACTTTCTTGGGGCAAAATCAAGTATATATAAATAATTAAATTTTACAATCATATTCCATAATGGGGAAGTGGCGGAAACAGATTCCATACACAGTTGTAAGACTAGATACGATAGGACCAATGAGGCCATAAATATATTACGGTACTTGACTCGAGTACCCCCTCGATGAGCTAGTACTCAGGTATTTTGGGTATCTTAGGCAATTTATACTATGATAATTATATGTACCTGTACCTAAATAAACTTGTTAGTAATCTGGGATAACCCGGTCAAACTTGTCCATACGTCCATTCTTAGTGGGTTGTTTTTTAGGTTAAGTTTTGTTGTGCACCCCATACATCTTCCTGTGGGTGATGGTAATATTACAGAGGCACATAATGGGTTCACGAACTGGGCCCCAACATTTTGATAAAGCAAACTGCTGAACAAGGTACTCTGTTAATGAACTATTCACTAGTTCATGATCTGTTAACATGAATTTAATGTCAAATAAATTTGGGTGCAGTTTATATAGCATGTGTTTGAGTTATGTATAATACCCACTACTTTAGCAAGGTATGGTTGTTTAATTTAGACGTGCAGTGATGATGGCACAGGTGTATTGTGTGTGAAGACAGGTAATGTGCGCTGATAACGTGGATCTTTGCGCTTCTGCTCTCTAGTATTGAATACTTTAAAATTTTGAAATAAAGTATATGGTGTTCTGAATGTGGTATTTGATAGTACATAGTTGCCATGTAATCTACGTATAAGCGATTGAATTTATCGTCTTCTTCACCTAATGTCCTATCTTAAAATCAGGAAATATATTCTAAATGAGAAGGCAATGACGTTTGATAAAATAGTATATAATGCAAAGTTGTCATCTTAAATAAAATATGGATATCATATGTTACCTATATTGTTGTAAATACTATATGAAAATATATGAGGGATTATGTTTGGTAAGGAAGATATAAAGTAAAAATGGTTATTGAGATTAGAGTGTTGGTTGTCTTGATAAACGGTGGGGAGGCAGCAGCCGGTGTGTGGCACCTACTCAACAATCGATACCAGCAGCAGTTCCCTGATCTCGCCAGAGCCTACATGCTCCTAATTGTTCTCTCTCGTATACACTAGACCTGAGGAAACAAGCAAAATGTGTGGAGGATTCACTTGCTCTAAAAACTCGCTGTTGGCCCTCAACATCTTGTATGTTGTAAGTATCTAATGGAAAAAAAAATGGGGTGACTTGTTTACCTGTCGACCCAAGATTTACCTCCCGCTCCAATATTAATTTGCAGTAACCTTGAAAATGATTAATTCTTTGACTTTTCAATCTCCAAATCAATCGTGCCAGAAAGCGATGATAGTGTGTAAAATACTTGTAGCATGGCTAAGGTGAAATATATTACATAGCTGGTATTATGGGTTCGGTCAAGGACCTCAATGGAAGTAGCCACATTGACTTGACTAGGTTATCCTTGGTTAATTTCTACACAGTGTACCTATGGAAGAAATACCTTGGCGCCGGTGAAGGGCTCTTAATCCTAGGAAGTGGCCCTAATTTTCCCTTCCTTGGATGGAAACTTGATAGCCTCATTCCCCCAGGTGCTGTACAATTACTGGGTTTTGCACCCCTTTTCTTCATGAATGTAATACAGGTAACCTATAATCCTACGGGTTTAGCGCTTCCCCCTTGATTATAATAATTTACCCATTTTGGCAGCTGTCATTCTCTCAACTCTGCCATATACTTCTTCCTGTACTTGCATCACTTTTTTTTTGGGGGGGGGGGGGGGAGGGGGGTTATCCTAGGAAACTTACACATTATGATACTGGGTATGATAATTGTACTTATGTGAACTTATACCTAAATCAACCTAAACTACCTGCCACTTCATAACTTCTCAAATTGAAGCTACATCAGCCTCTGTTGCAGAGGCAAAATCTGCCATAAATATCAATCTTATACCTTTGTACTCCTTATGGGTTTAGCACTTTATTATAATTAATAATATATAATGCACTACAGCATATAAACGTGTAACACTGGAAAAGGTCAAAACCTAAATAAAAACTTGGTCAATAGTGGCTTTTGTATGCTGTTAATTTTGTCATAGTATGTGGAAAAAATCCACTGCTGTACCTAACTTCTAACCAGTCAAAATACAGTTTCTAGGGCATTGGCTTTTATGCCTAACCCCTGATTATATGCATGTTGGGTTTAGCATTAGATCTATTGTTTGGATTATTAACTGAGGGTTGGTAACCCAGGATAACCCATTAATGCCATTCCATACTATTAGCGAGTTATTTTCCATTGGGATCCTTTAATCCATTCTTCCAGGATGTGACCTAAAACAGTAACACCTAGATACCTATACAGCTGTGTGAAGGGATAGATGCTGGGAAAAATGAGTTTTGTTAATGTAAAGTGCACTTGGTAGATTTCTTTAGCAGATTCTTGTTAATTAGTTTGGGATTATTGTTATTACTGTTACTGACTGTTGGTCCTTGGCACAACTTGTGCATTGTATATTTTACTTACATCTTATCTGCCTTGAAATAAATAATTATTTCTTGGGATCTGTTAGTTAAAATGACACTTATAGTTTGGTTTGATTCCCACATCAGGGCTAATCAGCTGTTTGTATTTGAGTTAGTTGACATGCCTGGTCAATCACACTGAATGTAAATACGCTTCAGTTCCATTTCTGCTAATAATGGAGGAAGTTAGATTTAATTACACTAGGTTTTGTTAGGTTATGTTGGCTTTTGTTTGGTTATGTTTAGTTTGTTTTTCTAGTTGTTCAACATAAAATTATTGCTATGGCAGAACCACTTTAATATTGGACAGTTTAAACTAGATTTATTGCCAAAATGCACAGAGGAACAGTGGTGTATTATTACTGTTATTTTTCAGAATTTTAAAGTTTGAATTAGGTAAGATTATCATAAGCAGTAGAATGCTCTAGTTTTATTCAAAAACTTTATACAATTTATTTTGATTTTCAGATTGCATTTTGGATATTAGTTTTATATCTGATATTTTAAAACTAACTGGATTGGCAGAGTGACTTCTCTGTATGTAATTTGTTTGCAGTTACCAAATTTAATGTAAATTTGTTCTTGCAGGTGGTGTCTTTCATTTTAATTGGTGTTGCTGCAGCAGCCAAGGCGGCATCATTTGTCACTTCAGTCTCGCTTGTTTCTGTCATCATTGCCTGTGGAGTCTTCTTATTGCTCATATCTATTGTGGGTCTTATTGGAGCTAGCAAACATCACCAGGTAACATGTATATATTTTATGCATACAGTATTTTAATTTTTCTGTAAAGGCTTTTGGTAGATGAAAGCTAGGTATTTATAGTAAAGGTTTAACCCTTAAATTGTCCAAACGTAGATCTACATTCATGCGCATAGTGCTCCGAATGTAGATCTATGTTCTATTTTACATTGTGTAAAAAAAAAAGTAGAGCTACGTTCGGAGCAGTGCGTGCGTGAACATGGATCTACGCTTGGACAGTTTGAGGGTTAATAGTCAAAAGCTGAAATTTATCATATTGTAATCATTGACGTTGATACATTTACTGTGCACTCTAATCATTCCTTAATTGCCCAGTGAAAGAGCTTAAAACATTGAATAATGTGTTATTCCCTGTTGAAGCATGTTGTAGGTTATGCCGGATGAGTGGAGTAAAAGAAAGGCCTCCTTGGTTCTTGTCATTTTGTTGTTCGAGTGCCTGATGCTACGTTTGAAAACTGATTGCAGGCTAGAGGCTTGGGGATGCCTGGGCTCCTACCATGCTTGTGCCAACATAGCATTTCAAATGTTATATCCTGCTTTAATGGGGAGTGCCTGGCCATATGTTACACGTATAGCCTACCACACAGATTTCGCAAGGGTGCTACACAGGCGTTATATAAGTACACTACTGACATGCAAATTTGCCTTTAAAAAAGGGGGGAAATGTTACTTCTTGTAATGGGAATGTAAAAAATAAAGAATAAATGTATGAACTATTTGACGAAACCCTTGCCTGTATTTATCGTAAGTACTGTATTAAAATTAATGCTAATGTTAATATTATTAGTATTAGGGTATTAGCATGAAATATTCCATGTATGTATATGATTAAAATTGGGTTCAAAACACAATTGACAAGAATCACAATATTAGATTAACTGCCCAAAATCCGACCACCACCAGTGGTGCTGGGTTATTGACATTTAAATATGGATGTTGTATAGTGTATACTATTAAGATCACAGGTAGTTAGTTTTTGTAACAAATGGTATTTTATTTTGTAGAGTAATACTGTATTAATGATTCATAACGTAACTCATGAAATCATAATGACATGATTGCGATCAGAGAGTTTTGAGATTCTGATCGCAGGTTCTAACCCCACCTGTGGTATGGTTTATTCATTACAATTTGGCAATTACAGTATCTCTAATGTTCTTGTAAATCCTTAGTTAAAATTATTTGCCTTAGCCCTTTACAGGCATTGCATCTGACCGTCAACGGTTCCCTGTAGAGTTTGTATAAAGGGCTTAGAAAACTAACAAGTTAATAAGAGAGACTTGTGTAATATCTTGGTATCTTTATATGGATACCCAAGTGTTGCACAAGTCTCTTATCAGTTCCCTGCAGAACAATTTTAGCAACTTGGTAAAATCTTAAATCTCTCTCTCCAGGTTATGCTCTTCTTCTACATGATTGTTCTTTTTATCATCTTCATCATTCAGTTTTCTGTGGCATGTGCTTGCTTAGCCATCAATGAAAATCAAGAGAAGTTAGTTGCTTCTAAGGTAAGTGGATTTAAGGGGTGCTTGAGTGGTACTTTGGGAATTATTCAGTGCTATAAGGCTGTTCTCAGTTAGGTCTGTTGAGGGTTTTCATGGGGGATACTTGGACTGGTTTCATAAAAGACTCCACAGATTGATTTCTGAGTCAAAACATGCCTGAATCCTTCAGGCAACTGTTTGGCCAGGCTGATTGTGTATGTTCAAGTTGCAGATTTTGTGTTGGTTAGTACATTATCAATAATTACACATAAAGAATAGTTTTGTCAAATAAGACTTCAGCTTATTTGTTGATATACATTAAATTATCTTGCCAAAAGTAGGCTGACATCACAGTTCAGATGAGCCTCTGATTGCAACTTCTCCACCCCTTTTCCAGACTGCAGGCATTGTCCTTCCCACCTCCAGGACTCTAGTTCAGCTAACTGGTTCTCCTTAGTTCATTTTGTAAAAGTTACCCTAATTATAGTCCAAGAGTGTCCAATAAAAATCGGCCTCCATTCACTCCTATCTAACAAGCTCAGCTGTTCACACAAGCCTGCTGGATTCTCAAGCCTCTTTACTCCCACTTCCATCCAAGATTGTTTTTAAATCTCTCTGTCTCTCTCTCTGTCTCTCTCTCTGTCTCTCTCTGTCTCTCTCTGTCTCTCTCTGTCTCTTCTCTGTCTCTGTCCCTTCTCTGTCTCTCTCTCTCTGTCTCTCTCTCTTGTCTCTTCTTCTCTGTCTCCTTCTCTGCTCTCTTCTCTCTCTGTCTCTCTCTCTGTCTTCTCTCTCTGTCTCTCTCTCTCTGTCTCTCTCTCTCTGTCTCTCTCTCTCTGTCTCTCTCTCTCTGTCTCTCTCTCTCTGTCTCTCTGCTCCTCTGTCTCTCTCTCTCTGTCTCTCTCTCTCTGTCTCTCTCTCTCTGTCTCTCTCTCTCTGTCCTCTCTCTGTCTCTCCTCTGTCTCTCTCTCTCTGTCCTCTCTCTCTCTCTCTGTCTCTCTCTCCTGTCTCTCTCTCTCTCTGTCTCTCTCTCTCTGTCTCTCTCTCTCTGTCTCTTCTCTCTCTGTCCTCCTCTCTGTCTCTCTCTGTCTCTCTCTGTCTCTTCTCTCCCCTGTCTCTCTCTGTCTCTCTCTCTCTCTCTCTCTCTCTCTCTGTCTCTGTCTCTGTCTCTCTCTGTCTCTCTCTCTCCTCTCTCTCTCTCTCTCTCTCTCTCTCTCGTCTCTCTCTCTCTGTCTCTCTCTCTCTGTCTCTCTCTCTGTCTCTCTCTCTCTGTCTCTCTCTCTCTGTCTCTCTCTGTCCTCTCTCTTCTCTCTGTCTCTCTCTCTCTCTCTGTCTCTCTCTCTGTCTCTCTCTCTCTGCTCTCTTGTCTCTCTCTCTGTCTCTCTCTCTCTCTCTCTCTCTCTCTCTCTCTGTCTCTCTCCTCCTCTGTCTCTCTCTTTTCTGTCCTCTCTCTCTCTCTCTCTCTCTCTCTCTCTCCTGTCTGTGTCTGTCTGTCTGTCTCTCTCTCTCTGTCTCTGTGTCTCTCTGTCTCTCTCTGTCTCTCTCTCTGTCTGTCTCTGTCTCTCTCTCTCTGTCTCTCTCTCTCTGTGTCTCTTTCTCTCTCTCTCGGTCTTTTCTTTTTTTTCCATGTTTATTTTTTAACTATGACACTTATAATTTGCCTAAGATGTGCCAGAGTTACACAATTACAAAGAAATTATTGATAATGAGAATTAACCAGTGTAATACCTGCTCACCTAGTGGCATGTCGAGCACATTCAAGTACAAAAGCAGTCGATTAACCAGGGAGCAAGAGGAAGCTGCTGAATGGCCACTGTAGATTAATGGAGACTTTTACTGCTTCTTCTTACATTTTTCATTGGTGATGGGGGATATGTACCTTAAATCAGTGCTGGTGCCAAAAATAACACACACTCCTTGGCCAAATAGTGGGAACTCATGAAATAAAATTTGTTTTATTTATTCATTAATACATCAGCCTTCTCCCACCAAGGCAGGGTGGCCTGAAAAAGAAAAACCTTTATAATTATTCCCTCCATCACTGTCTTGCCAGAGGCACACTTACACTACTGTTATAAAACTGCAACATTAACACCTCTCCTTCAGAGTGCAGACACTGTGCTTCCCATCTCCAGGACTCGAGTCTGGCCTGCTAAAAATAAAAGTAGAAAAAAATCCATCAATTTGATTTCAAGTGAATTTTGTTCTTTCATGCTTGAACTATGGTAGCCTTCCAGCAAGTTCTGCTTCATTTGAGAGCATCTTTTTTGGGCAAATTCATACTAAATTAAGAAACAGATTAGGTGATGAAAAGGTTGAAAAACTTGATGAAACAGGATGCTTACAGGTAAAGACCAGGAGTGATAAACACTGCAGATCATATACAGTAACAATCTTTGCTTGTCTTGAAATACTGTACTGTAACATTTTTATAGTTTTTATATAAAAATTCATACCTTTTGATACTTAACCCTTTCAGGGTTTCGGCCGTACTAGTACAGCTTACGCGCCAGGGTTTTTGACGTACTAGTACGCCTAAATTCTAGCGCCCTCAAATCTAATGAGAGAAAGCTGGTAGGCCTACATATGAAAGAATGGGTCTATGTGGTCAGTGTGCGTGGTATAAAAAAAAATCCTGCAGCACAAAGTGCGTAATGAGAAAAAAAAACTTTGACAGTGTTTTTGGATTAAAACAGCGACTTTGCACTGTATTTTCGTATGTTATTTATTGTTGTATTCTAGTTTTCCTGGTCTCATTTTATAGAATGGAAGACATATTACAGAAATTGAGATGATTTTGACTGGTTTTACAAAGAAAACTACCTTGAAATTGCGCTCAAAGTAGCAGAAATGTTCGATTTTTACCAAAGTTCAGAAGTAAACAAATCATGCTATGTGTCCAATACACGTCAACTGGTGAGTCTAATATTCTTTCACAAGTGCGCTGATAATATTTATACCATTTCTACACTAATGCAGTAGTCTGCGTAACAGTAAATCTTATACTTTTTTGTGAGAATAAAAATTCAAAGTGGAAAGCAAAAGAATGTAAGAGGGGCATGGGGACGTGACTAATGAACAGAGGAAATATTATTTTAGTGCCAGGAATGTCTTTCTTGTTTATTCTGGACCCTATTCAGAAATTGGCATCTTTTGAAATTTGTGTGAAATGGGCAAAATTGCTAAATTCTGATCACTGTATTGGATAGTTCAAGCCGGTAAATGGGTGGTTTCTTGTAATCATTCGATAGAAAAAATGGAGTTCTAGTGAAATAGTTATGATTTTTGTCGACAAGTACACTGGAATTGGCCAAAAATAGGGCTCAAATTGGGCAAAATCGCCAATGCGTAAACTTCTTTGCGAGAGCATAATTCTGTAAATTTTCCATCAAATTTCAGACTTTTGGTGTCATTATGATTGGGAAAAGATTCTCTTATCTTTTTTTTTTTTTAATTTGGCCGACCCTGAGAACAAGTCTCTGAGAGGGCCTGTCGACCCTGAAAGGGTTAAATGTGAATTATGCTGTGCAATATTAATATATACGGTAAGTTACTTTTTTTTAAATAGTATTGTTTGACCAACGTATAAAAAGCATAAATAAAAGTAAGAGCTAAATTACGTACTATAGTTCTTTATATCCACATTTCTTTATTTCTGTCCTCTGGATTACCTGCACATAGTTTACACCACACATCACTGCAGTGTTCAAAACTCATGCCTTGCATCCCTATAAAAGTGTTGTACCACTATTCTGATAAAAAAAAAAAAAAATCTCGACACCTTTTTTCTCCTCGTCTATTCAGTGGTTCATTTCGTCTTTCATATGCCCATCTACTGATGTGCTCACTCCCAATTATCTAAATGCATCCACTTACTCCTTGCTTCCTCTCTCTAATGTAAAACATTTCTAGTATGTATTTATATTGGGAATGATGTACTTCAGTCATTTGCACTTATGGCTAGAGAGCTATACATATATTGAATGGTGATGAGAATGTTTACGTTTTTTTTTTTTTTTTTTTTCCCCTACCTTGGTGTGAGATACATTTTTTTTTTTTTTTAACCAATGCTATGGTTAATTAATATTTATTTGAAATAATGCTATTAGTAATACAGTGGTCCCTCAATAATCGTCTGGCCTGAGAATCGTCCATTTCGGAAATAGTTCCGTTATTTCGTCTAAACATTGGCTCACAAATGGTCCATTAACTCGCTAATCGTCTTTAGTCCTGGACGCATACTTGCGGCTCTGAGCCGCCTCGGCCTCCTTTCCCACCCAATGTGCCATTGTTTGCCAGTGAGTGACTATCCCCTCACGTGTTCATACGAAATATTTCATGATATTCCATTCATTTTAGTGCTTGCAAGTGCTACCATGGCTCCAAAGAAAGCTCCTAGTGCCAAGCCTTTGGTAAAGGTGAGAAATATGACTGAATTTAAGAAAAACATTGAACAATATGAAAGTGGCGTATGTGTGGGCGAACTGGCCAGGATGTATAACAAATCCCGTACAACCGTATCTTCCACCATAGCCAAGAAAAAGGAAATCAAAGAAGCTGTTGTTGCAAACGGGGTAAATATGCTGACAAAAATAAGATCACCAGTACTCGAAGATGTTGAGAAGTTATTATTGGTGTGGATAAACAAGAAACAATTAGCAGGAGATAGTCTTATGACGTCGCTTATTTGTGAAAAGGCTAGGCAGTTGCATGACGATTTGGTAAAGAAATTGCCTGCAACTAGTGGTGATGTGAGTGAATTTAAGGCCAGCAAAGGCTGGTTTGAGAGATTTAAGAAGTGTACTGGCATACACAGTGTGATAAGGCATGGTGAGGCTGCCAGTTTGGACCAAAAAGCGGCTGAAAAATATGGGCAGGAATTCAAGGAGTACATAGAGGCTGAAGGACCGAAACCTGAACAAGTGTTCAATTGTGACGAAACAGGCCTCTTTTGGAAGAAAATGCCAAAGAGGACCTACATTACTCGGGAAGAAAAGGCACTGCCAGGACACAAGCCTATGAAAGACAGGCTGACACTCATGTTCTGTGCTAATGCTAGTGGGGATTTCCAAGTGAAGCCGTTACTAGTGTACCCTTCTGAAAATCCCAGAGTGTTCAAGAAAAACAATGTTATGAAGAGTAAATTGTGTGTGTTTTGGAGATTTAATAATAAGGCATGGGGTCACGAGGGACATTTTCGTCGAGTGGTTCAATGAAGTGTTTGGCCTTAGTGTAAAGAATTACCTCCTGGAAAAGAAATTGGATCTCAAGTGCCTCCTAGTAATGGACAGTGTACCTGCTCATCCTCCAAACCTGGATGACCTAATTCTGCAGGAGTTTGGCCTCATCACAGTAAAGTTCTTGCCCCCGAATACCACTCCTCTCCTCCAGCCCATGGACCAGCAGGTCATTTCAAACTTTAAAAAAAACTACACCAAAGCAGTGTTTGAAAGGTGCTTTAATGTGACCTCAGACACATACTTGACCCTAAGAGATTTTTGGAAAGAACACTTCAGTATTCTCCATTGCATAAGCCTTATAGGTAAGGCTTGGGAGGGAGTGACTACCAGGACTTTGAACTCTGCTGGGAGAAAATTGTGGCCAGATTGTGTCCACAAGAGGGATTTTGAAGGGTTTGAGGCAGCCCCTGATGAGCCTATGTCAGTTGTGAACTCTGTTGTGGCACTGGGAAGTTCCATGGGGTTGGATGTGAGTTTGGAGGATGTGGAAGAGTTGGAGGACCACAACAACGATCTAACCACTGAGGAGCTGCAAGAGCTTCAGCAGGAAGAGCAACAGATCGCAGCTCAGAATCTTGCTGCAGAGGAGGAGGAGGAAGAGAGATGGAAGAAGATGCCTTCTTCGGAAATTAAGGAGATTTTTGAAATGTGGGGTAGGATGGAAAGATTTATGGAGAAGCATCACCCTGAGAAGGATGTTGCAAGCCATATCAGCAACTTGTACAGTAACAGAGTCTTGGCCCATTTTAGGGAAGTTTTAAAGAGATGCCAGAAACAGAGCTCTCTGGACAGTTTTTTTGTGAGAGGACTCCAGTGACTCTCAAGCTGGTCCTAGTGGAATTAAGAAACAGAGAAGAGAAGTAACCCCAGAAAAGCACTTGGTACCTGAGGTGTTGATGGAAGGGGATTCCCCTTCCAAACAGTAATTCAATCTCTCCTCCTCCAATCTTCCATACACTAAGAAGAATCACCAATAAAGGTAAGTGTTATGCTGTTAATGTTTCATTCATCATGTGCCATTGTATTGTTTATGTACTACATCTATATTTCATGTAAAAAAAATTTTTGTTTTAATACTTCTGGGTGTCAGGAACGGATTAATTGTATTTACATTATTTCTTGTGGGGAAAATTGATTCGAAAATAGTTTATTTCGATAATAGTCCCACTTCCAAGAACGGATTATGGACGATAATTGAGGGACCACTGTACATCAGTATACATCATGTGCTTTTATGCATCACACCTAAGTGTTATACAGTGAATTGGGAGAAATAATGGGTAACCAGTTCTAGATGAAGTTCTTAGCACGTGTTTACTTCATTTAAAGTTGTAAATATTGAATATTTGCAGATTTGATTGAATGTTCACTTTTTTCAGGGTTGGAATCTGTCTGCTGACACAACAAGAATGGATGCACAGATATTTTTTGGCTGTTGTGGATATAATGATACTAGAAATGGAACTGTTATATATTTGGATCATCCCAGCTGTGCATATGTAAGATTTTAGATTTTTTTTTGTTTTAGTTTTTTTTATTCTTTCATCATAGACTCAGTGCTGAGGCACCTTGATGCTATGGTGGGGTTTGTTTTTAGGGTCAGGGAAGCCTTCTCTGGAAGAGGTGCCCTACTCTCTGCAGGGTGTTTGCCTGACTAAGAATTCAGTATCTCTCTCAGCATAATTGGAGAGATTTCCCCTTTCATGTAAATTTATTGACTGACACTATTTATGGATATAAATTATGGAATGAGGAAATACTTATAATAGTTTTACACTACTTGTTTTGTGATTATGATATATGTAATAACAATGAATTGTTCATGACAGTAGCACGTTGGTAATGATAGTGTTTATTTGATAATGCTAGAAATGTAATATATTGAAAAAGCTAATAACTTGTCTTCCTATGGTGTTTGTTTAGGTACAGTTTGCAATGAGCAATATTTCTTATCAACCCTTTGACTGTTTCAGTCGTATATATACGTCTTACGAACCAATGCGTTTGACGTATACATACTCAAAAATTCTAGTGGCTTCAAATCAAGCAGGAGAAAGCTGGTAGGCCTATATATGAGAGAATGGGTCTGTGTGATCAGTGTGTGCAGTATAAAAAAATCCTGCAGCAAGCATTGCATAATGAGAAAAAAAAGCTCCGACAGTGTTTTTGGATTAAAACTCCAACTTTGAGGTGTATTTTCGTGTAGTTTTTTGTTACATTCTCGTTTTCGTAGTCACATTTGATAGAATGGAAAACATATTATAGAAATGGAGGTGATTTTGATTGGTTTTACTATGAAAAGGACTTTGAAATGGAGCTCAAAGTAGAGGAAATGTTTGATTTTTGCCAATGTTCAAGAGTAAACAAATGACATCATTGTCCAGTAAATGTCCAACTAGCTATTCTGATATGCAGTCATGAATGTGTTGACATTATTTATACAATTAATACAATATTGCAGTAGTCTGCATAACAGTAAATCTTCTATTATTTGTTTGAATAAAAATTTCAAAATAGAAAGTAAGAGTAATATCAGAGGGGCCTGGAGACGTGACTGATGAACAAATAAAATGTTATTTTAGAGCCAGGAATGTCTGCCTTGTTCATTCTGGACCCTATTTTGAAATTGGCATTTTTTTAATTTGTGTGAAATTGGCCAAATTCCCAATTTCTAACCACGTTACTATAGTTTAAAGAAATAGCTACGAGTTTGGTCAACTGGAACAATGGAATTAGCCGAAAATAGGGCTCAAAGTGGGCGAAATCGCCACTTTGTAAATATCGCCAAGGTTGCTAACTTTGCGAGAGCGTAATTCCGTAAGTTTTCCATCAAATTTCGTACTTTTGGTGTCATCACCACCGGGAAAGAATTCTCTATCATTTCATAAGATTTTTTTTTTTTTTCTCAAAAAATTTTGCGATACCAGGAGACGCCTCAGGATTTGGGGTTGCGACAGTCAAAGGGTTAATGCTTTTATTTATTGGGTGAATTTTTTTTACTTTTATGGACATGCTGGTTTTAAGAATGCCTTGGGTTCTCTTGTGAATCATGCAGTCTAATAAGTAAGGAAGGGTGTGCTAATACTAAGGGCTTGCTGCAAAACTCACTTGTGCTGTTGACAAATATTATACCAATGAAGATGTTAAAAAATTTATTCTTGAAGCTTTTAATATTTAAAAAAGAAAAAAAAAAGCAAGAAGACATGGCCTTCCTAACTCGTAATATACCTTTGCCAAACTAGGTTTGTTTATTTTATTTCCCAATCATGTCCCTGATTTATTGTGCTCTGACCCATACATAGGTTGGAACGGTTTTAATTGGTTAGGTTGATATTCATCTTTTCAGGTAGACCATTACAGTATTAGAACAACAAATTTGTCAATCTGCATTCATATTTTAATTCCTAGCCTACTGGTGATACCCACAGGTGAAGAAGACTCCAGAGATATTTTGTTGTCCAGGAAATGAAAGTAAAGATTGCTGCACGAAAAATTCCACTGTGTGTAATTGTGATACATGTGACAAGCCAATTCAGGAGGCCATGTTGAGAGGTTTCAATCTGGTTGGTGGCATTGGCCTGTTTTTCTCATTTACTGAAGTAAGTGTCACTGCCGTTTTTAGTTCATTTTCTCATATTTCGTAAAAAATTAAGAAATTTAGCAATGAATTATATGTAAAGAATACTTTTTCTTACAAAGTTTGCCCCCACACTTTGTAGTTATGGTTGGGGAGATGAATAAGAAAATTAATGCAACAATAATGGCATCAGTAAGATTTTTGGGCAGAGGTATAATTTATTTAGTACTTAGTATAGTGTAGGTAGTAGGTTGGTTGTAGGTAGTAGGTTGGTAGACAGCAACCACCCAGGGAGGTACTACCGTCCTGCCAAGTGAGTGTAAAACGAAGCCTGTGATTGTTTTACATGATGGTAGGATTGCTGATGTCTTTTGTCTGTCTCATAAATATGCAAGATTACAGGCATGTCTTGCTACTTCTACTTACACTTAGGTCACACTACACATACATGTACATGTACATGTACATGTACATGTACACATACATGTACACATACATACATGTAGGTTGGTAGACACCGGGGATTTAAGTCCTTTTTCTGTCCTTTACTTCGGGGGGTTTGGAAGGTTTTAAATTGGGTTTGGATAATTTTTGGGGGTTGCCAAAAAAAAAATTAAAAGGGAAACAAAAAGGTAATTTGGGGGTCAAAAAGTTGGGTATGGTTAAATACCAAGGGAAAGAAGGATCCTTTTAGATTTTTGGGGTTGTCGGGGGGCAAATAAAAGGGGTAAAAAAAATTGTGAAAAAAAATTTACTGGGGGTAATTGGATCTGGGGAACAAAGAATTTTTCCAGGAAAGGGGAATGTTGAGGGGTTTTTTTCCAAATCTTTTGGGGGGAAAAATTGGGTTTTTCTCAAGGAAAAGGGGGACATGGAGTTCATTTTTAAATTTTTTAAAAATTAAGAAAAGAATGTATTTAAGTTAGGAAATTTTCTTAAAAAAACTTTTTTTCCCCAAGGGGGGGTTGTTTGGTTGGTTGGGAAAAGGGAAAAAAAGAAAAAAATTATGTTTTAAAAAGGCTTCCCCAGAAAGGGGTTTTGGGGGGGGGGGTAAAATTTTTTGTAATTTGGGATTTACGGAGTTGGGGGGTTTGTAGGAGTGGTTTGGAAAAAGGGAAAACCCGGGAAAGGGTTAAAAAGTTTTTGAAGGGATTGGAAAACCCGGAAGCCGGTTTTTTTTTTCAGGGAAGGGGGAAAAAGGTTTTGGGATGTTATTTTGCGTTTAAAATTATGAAAGATTTAACAGGGAGGGGTTTTGGAAAATTTTTTTTTCCCCCCTTTGGTAAACCCTTAAAAAAAAATTAAAATTTATTTTTACACATCATCTGAGTTTTCTTTGATTTTATTTAATAGTTTTTGGGTCTTATTTTTTTTCCTTTTATACCCGGGGGGGAAAGTGGAATAAGAATCTTTCTCCGTAAGCCATGCTTTGTTTTTAAAGTCAACAAAAATCCCGGGAAAAATGGGCTAAAACCCCCTTTTTCCCTGAAAAGATTACTAAAAAGAATAAAAAGAAAAAAAATTGTAAAAGGGGGAAGGTCTGAATGTGGTGGATGTTGGGAAGATGAAAAAAAGAGATGTTTGTGGATGTTATAAATTTGAGAAGAAGGGGGAGGGTCCTGGGCTTTAAGTAAAACAAAGTGAAGGGGGTGGGAGAGTTTCAGTGGAGAGGAATAAAGGGGAATTTGGTCGGGGGGTTTCAAAAGAGTTAGAGCTAAAGAAGGAGAAAAAAATTAATGTTAAAAGGAAAAAGCTTGGCAGGAAAAGAGGGGTATAAATGTTTTAAATTTTCAAGGATTATGGGGGTTTAAAAAAAGATTGGATGGGGAAAAAAGTGGGTTTTTATAAGCGGGGTTATGCACTGGGGGAAGAGAGAAGTTTTAGGGAGAGAGAGGGGATTTTGGGAAATGTTGGTGAATGCTTTTGGGGATTTTTGGGAAATCAAGTGTGAGGAAATGGGGGTTTGGGGGATTTTAATGCAAAAGGGGGGAAAAAATTTTATGGAGGGATTTTGTAGGTTAAATTTGGGGTCCCAGGGGTAAATGAAAAGGGGGGGCCCTTTTAAATTTGAGCTATTTTGTAAAAAGGGGAAATTTGGGGTAAAAAGAAATTCCCATATTTTAGGAAAAAAGAGGGGATAAAAAAAATATAAAAAGGTATAAAGTAGCACGTAATGAAAGTAGTTTATTTTTTTTATGTTTTTGGGTGGTTTAAAAGGTTGATGGGTAGGCTCCAGGATGTACATGTTTATAGAGGGGCAACTAAATTTACGGATCATTATTTAGTTGAAGCTCAGTTAGAGTAAGGGGTGGGATGGAAAAAAGAGGAAGGTGGCAAAAAACAAGAAAGAGGGAGGTGAAGTTTTTTAAACTAAGGGAGGGGGAAAAGGTTCGGGTGAGATAAAAAGGGGGACTATTGGCAAAAAGGGTTGGGTATTTGCAAAGATGATTTAGTGGGGGGGTTGAAGAGGGTTGGAATGTTTTTAAAAAATGCTGTATTAAAATGTGGGGGCGGGTTTGTGGTTATAGGAGGGGGGGGGGCAGGGGGAAAAGGGAGGAGTGTTTTGGGGAAAATGATGAAGAAAAGGGTTTGTGAAAAAAGGGGAAAAAAGGAAAGTTAGGAGGGTTTTTACAAAGCAGAAGTTTTTTTAAAAAAGCAGAGTTATGGGGGGTAAAAGGGGGGTAAAGAGAGTGGTGGAGAGTGCAAAAGGAGAGCAGATGTTAGAGGGGAAGGCACTGTCAAAAAAATTTTAAATGAAAATAAAAAAAAATTTTTGGAGTGATTTTTAAACAAGTTAAAAAAACCCTGGGGAAAAATTTATGGATTTGTCATTTTAAAAAACAGAGTAGGGGAGTTAGTAGATGGGGAGATGGGTATTGGGTGGGAGGGCGAGAATTTTTTTGGGGAAATTTTTTAAATTTTAAGGGAAGAAACAGAGGCAGTAATTTTTCATGCATGGTCGGGGAGGTTTTCCATTTTTAGGAGTGAAGAAAGAGAGAATGGGGGGGTGTGGGGGGGGGAGTTACTTTTAAAAAAAGGGGGCATTTGGGGGGTAAAAATGAAAAGGGGGGGAAAAGGGGTTTGGAAAGTGGGGTTTTTTGAAAAATGTTAAAGGGGGGGGGGGGGGGGGGGGGGGGGGAAAAAGGGGGGAAAAAAAAGGGGGGGGGGGGGCGGGGGGGGGGGGGGGTAAACCTAGGATTGGCAGAGAGCATTATAGCCCCTTTATATAAAGGGAAAGGGGACAAAAGAGACTGTAAAAATTTTTAGGGGGAATAAGCTTTCTGATTTATCCCGGAAAAAGTGTACGGTGGGTTATAATTGAAAGAATTAGGGGGAAAGACAGAATGTAGGATTGCGGTGAGAAAGGGGGTTTTAGGTGGGTAGGGGATGTTTTGGTGGGTTTTTAAACATTAAAGGGCATAATTTGAACAGTATTTAGAAAAAGGGATAGGGAAGTTTTTATTGCATTTTTTTGGGGGTTTAGGGAAAAAGGGATATGATAGGTGGAAAAGAGGAGCAATGTGGCAGATGGTTTTCAAGTAAAATGGGAAAAGGTGGTAAGGGGATTAAATGCTGTAAAAAAGGGGTTTTTTTGAGGATAGTGAGGTCAGGTTAGGGTGGTAGAAGAGAGGGGACTACTTCCCGGGAAAGTAGGGGCTTAGACAGGGATGTGTAATGTCACCCCGGTTTTTTAAATTTTTTAAAAGATGGGGTTGTAAAGGAAGTAAAATTTTAGGGGGGTTTGGGAGGGGGTGGGGGTTTTAAATTTTTGGGGAAAACAATTCAAAAAGGGGAAATTTACACAGTTACTTTTTGTGATGATCTGTGTTTTTGGGAGATTCTAAAAAAAAATTGCAAAGGTTAGTGGATGAAATTTGGGGGAAAGTGTTTTTAAGGGAGAAAAAATTTTAAAGTTTAAAAAAAAGAAAAAAAGTAAAGGGGATGAGGGTGTCAAATGATTAGAAAAGAAAAATTGGTATCAAATTTTGGGGGGGGGAGTATGGAAAAAAGTGAATGTTTTTAGATACTTGGGAGTTGACCTTTTCGGCGGGGTGGGGTTTTGAAGGATGAGGTTAATCATAGAAATTTATGAGGGGGAAAAAAAGGGGAGTGGTGCGTTGAGGTTTTTTGTGGAGTCAAAAAAACGTTACTATGGGGGCAAAGAAGGGAAAAAAAGAAAGTATAGTGTTAAACCCAAAATTTATTTGGGTGTGAAGCTTGGGTGGTAAAAACAGCAGCGAGGGGGGGACGGTTGGGGGGGCAGCGGGATGTCCTGGGTTTTAAAGGGGAATTTTGGGGGTTTTTAAAAATTATGCAAAAAAATTTTTGGGGTGTGGAAATTAGGAGAAGGTGTGGAGTTAATAAAAATATTAGTCAAAAGGGCAGAAGGGGGTTGTTGAGGTGGTTTGGTATTTAGAGGGGAATGGATCACCCGTAAAAATGACATGGGAAAAACTTTTAAATCTATAGGGGAAGGAAAGGGGGGGGGTAGGGGTCGTCCTCGAAAGGGTTGGGAAAAGGGGGGGGGTAAAGGAGGTTTTTTGGGTTTAAGGGGCCTTTGGAAATTCCAGCAAGCGGCGTGGGGGCGTGTTGTGGAGTGAATGGAGAGAATGGTACTTGGGAAACCCGCGATCTGTTGGGTGTGAGCCCGGGTAATATTTAGGAAGGGGTTCGGGAAACCGGTTTTTTTTCATTAGTCGGACTTGGGGTCCCGGAAAAGGGAAGTACAATTTCCTGCACTTTAAAAGGGGGGGTTTGGGATATTGGGGCAGTTTGGGGGGGGATATGTTGTGTATCTTTATATGTTTTTTTGCTTTGGGCTGTTGTATTTGGCAACCCCTTTCAAAAAAAGTGATAATGTGCGAGTGTGGTAAAAATGTTGAAAGATGATGAAAAAATATTTTTTTTTGGGGATTTTCTTTTTTTTTTTGGGTCACCCTGCCTCGGGGGAGAACGGCCCCACTTGTTGAAAAAAAAAAAAAAAAAAAAAAATTTGGATAGTATTTTTTCTTTGACAGTCAA